CCGCTCGTGCGGCCCGTAGTCTTAGCCTTAAGCCTACGGATCCAGACGAACTTGGAAAAGTGGCATTTCAATTACTAGATCCACGTATATTCTCTGTCCGGATCATGCTATAATAGTATTAATGAAATGTGGATAAAAAGGTTCGGAATTTATGAAAATCGCAGGGATCGCGAAAATTATAGGAAAAGCTTAAAAACGCAGGAAATGCAGGAAATGCAGAAATATAGGGGTAAATCACATGACTTAAGGGACACTTATACGAAAATCTATTAAATCCAGAACCATACGCTCGCCAGGATAATAAGATTAGATAGGTATAATCTCCTTATTATTCTTCTGAGTTTTTTCCTTATTATAGTAAGAATAGCGAGCACTTATCTAAGTGTGGTCGTTACGGGACGGGCCATGCCAAATTCGTCTTATATACTCAAATGCAATATTAGGGGCTATTATATAGGTAATTAGTATAAAAATTAGTATATTTCAGGGGTACTTACCTGTATATATTAATTTCTTATGAATAGTAGTCAAAATCTCAAAGGCATTATTATAGCAAAAAGTATAGCAAGCTAGAAGGATCTCATTGCGGCGACTATTATGGTATTTCTTATGATATACCTGATTATCCTAAAGCTCGTATAATTGGGATTCGTGCTTAATATTAGCCTGGTAGCGTTTCTCTGCTTTTGTTTTACTAGAGAGTAAAGTATTAGGATTTTGCAACCACTATCTAATATCCATACGTTTCCTAGTAGTAAGAATTTTCTTACTACTACCTATAGTAAGCCTTTGATCCCACGCAGCTTCGTCTTTAGCAGACCAATTATTAGTAGGCTCTTTAGTAATAGGGGAGGATAAGAACTGAGTGCCAGAGGAACGTGCTCCTGGTATAGTAATATCAAAATATTAATCTGCTCGGCTATAGGTGCGTTTACGAGGCATATGAGGGGCTAGAGATAAACGAAGGGTTAAAAGAAACATAGTAGAAGTAAGGTAATAATTAAGAAGTATATAGAATCAGTGGTTTTGCTTAGAAAGCTGGTGCTTGTACTATGAACTATATACTGTAAACTGTGTGCTATAAACTATATCTAGGTAGTAAAAAGAGAGCAGAGGCCCTATATATATCTAGAGGCTCTAGAGAAGTATCTTTACCCCTATTATATACTGAGAACTAAAGGGTTTCAGCTATTAGTCTTGAGGATATATTATTATATACTGAGAACTAAAAGGTTTCAGCTATTAGTCTCGAGAATATATTATTATATACTGAGAACTAAAGGGTTTTAGCCATTAGTCTTAAGGATATATTATTACATACTGAGAACTAAAGGGTTTTAGCTATTAGTCTTAAGGATATATTATTATATACTAAGAACTAAAGGGTTTCAGCCTCCTTAAGCCCGAAACCCCAATATTATGCGATTAATTAATCGTAGCGCCCGATTCCTAAACCGCTCGTATTAATAAATGGGATAGAATAGATCTAATTATTTTTAATTAGTTTATAAATTTTATTCTTAAATAATTAATTATAATATTTTATAAATTAGGGAATTTAATATATTAGAATACGAGTTAAAACTAAATAAGATTTAGTTTATATCTTTTAATTAGCTATAGAAATAGTTATAGAATACTAAATTATATTTATAAAAATAATATCTTTTAAAATTATTACTAAAATATTTATATAATAGCCCGATTTTAAAATCTTTTTTTATAACTAGAATATTTTAATAATTACTATTATAACTATAGTTATAATTATACTAAAAGATATTTTAGAAATAATAATATATAAATATTAAAAAAAAACTATTATAATTTTTTTTCTAGTTATAATTAAATTTCTATTAATATACTTTTATAAAGCATTTTTTATATAATATTAAATTAAAAATTAAATATAAGTCTAATAAATAAAAAAAGTAATAATAATTTAAATCTAAAACTAAAATAAAAAACTATTATAATATATTTGAATTTAATATAAAAAAATAAAATAAATATCTAAATATTTTTTTTAATAAAATAACCCCGTATTATTTTATATTTAATAATAATTTTATATATTCTAAACTTTATAATAGCTTTATTATTATTTAAATATTTTTTTAAATAATTTAAAAACAGAAAGTATTTATTTCTTAATATATAATTAGTAAAGCTTTTTCCTTATTAGCCTTTTCTAGTTTATTAATCTTATTATTTCTATTCTTAAATATATTATTTTCTATAATATTATATTAATAAATAAAATTATATAAAATATAAATAATAAAAATAACTCGTATTTAAATTAATAAATTATATTTTATATTAGTTTTAAAAAAAAGAAAAACATATTTGATTTTATTTCTTAATATTAAATATTATAAATTAAAGAATTCTTTATATATTTTAAAAATCTTTTTAATAATAATAACTTTATATAAATACTATTTTATTTTTCTAAATAGAATTATAATCTATCTAGTATTAATATATCTAATATTACTAAAATAAAATCTATTATTTAATATTTAAACCCCTTTTTTTATAATAATATTTTATAAAACTCTTTAATTATTTGTAGAATTCTTTTATTTAGAATATATAAAACAAAATTATAAATTAAATATATATATTATAAATATATTATAAAACAGATATTTATAATAATTCCTAAAAAGAGCTTATATTTTAATATCTAAATAAGTATAAATATAAATAGTATTAATAGTATTAATATAATTATTAAAATAAAATATAAATTAAGAATTATTTATAATTCGAAAATATATTTCTATTATTATATTAGGCTATTTTATAATATATTTAAATAGTAAATTTAGAATAGTAAATATTTTATAAAAGATTCTATTTATTATATTACTAGAAATGTAATTATTTCTAACTTAAAAACTTCTTTTATATATTATAATTTAATATTAGCTAGCTAATAATATATATAAAAATATATATTTTCTTTTTAATAGATATAACTTTATTTTTTTTAATAGAATTTAATTAATATTCTAAATAATATAATTAATATATATAATTATTTTTAATACTAATATAAATACTTGTAATTAAAAAGTTTAATATCTTATAATAATTTTTTTAAAAAAGATTTTTATTAGATTTTTATTATAATATATTATTTTTTAATAATTAGTATTATTAATAATAATTTAAGTAATAATTAACTCGAATTTGGTATTAAACTTATTTTAAAATAATATAGCTATAATAAATAAAGATATAATTAATTATAATATATAATTATATAATAAAATATTCTAAAATTAGAATATTTAGATAAATTTAATTATCTAAAGCCAAATATTTAAATACTAGTATTTTGAGAATTACTTATTATAAATAGTTCTAAAAATGCTATAATTTATATAAGAGCAAATACTAGTAATTAAAAGCTAGTATTTGAAATTTATAAAACGGGCTTTTAGATAAAAATAAACGAATTTTAATTTAATATATCTTTATATTAAACCTATATAATAATAAAGCTTTAAATAAGAAAAATTAGAACTATTTATAAAAATTATAATATAAAATAACAGGATTATAGGGCATTTATACTACAAGCCCACTCTCAGGCCACTTTCTACTATACTTATTTACTAAAGTCTCTTATATTTCTAGGCTACTTTCCTATAAGTATACTATTCCTTTATCTAATAAGAAGTGGTCTGTACTAGCAGGGGGGCCTGGCTCAGGGCGAAAAGGCAATAGATAACTAATAAGTTTCTAAGCAAAGGCATGCCTTTTCGCCCTGAGCCAGGCCCCCCTGCTAGTACAGACCACTTCTTATTAGATAAAGGAATAGTATACTTATAGGAAAGTAGCCTAGAAATATAAGAGACTTTAGTAAATAAGTATAGTAGAAAGTGGCCTGAGAGTGGGCTTGTGGTATAAATGCCCTGTAATCCCGTTACTTTATGCCACAATCTTCGTAGTTACTCTAGGGTCAATAATTGCAATATATATGCTAGTGCATTAGCTCCTTAGAGTATATACCTTTATACTTGAAATTTGCAGTACTATAAAATACGCCCCTGAGATTAGCGAATCAGAAATGAGGCAGCTCTTCAAATTCTCGATCTCAGCAGAAAATTTTAATCCCTGCACCGTATTACAATCTTTTAGAGATTGCACCTAAGCGTAAAGGCAAGTCCCGTAATAAAGATGTATCAAAATTCCCAAGAATCGCTCAGGAAATACCAGATCTTGGAGTTCAGAAACACCGGTAACCTTTCCTCCCTATGAAGGCTATCAGAAGACAACCAACCAGTGAAGACCATGCGTCTCTTGGCACAAGAAAATTTAGACCCACAACCAACTAAATATCACAACATTAACTTGGAGTAGGATGTAGAGCAGTAGAGCTAAAATCGACTCGAAATAGTTCTAGAAGATGGATGGAGTCTTTTAGATATTATGAATGGAGCTCACAGGCTACAAATTGAGAGACGACTGTTGCAAAAATTTCCACAATAGTATAACCTAGTTCAATGAAACTGCTCTTAGCGAGATTCACTAGTTTGTTATTGTCGCGGAAAGGCATGTATATGTCTCCTGTTTGTAAGGTTATATTGAAATACTTCACTGAACCCCTACTCTAAGGAGTTACACCTTGCAGGGCAATCCACACGTACTCTGGATATGCGACATTAAAGGCAAAGCTCCCTTGCCCATAATTATGTTATCATTTACACTAGTGAAAAGTGCCCACCAGAGGCACAGAAAACAGATGAAGATGGGATGCCAGTGTTCTAATTACTGGTCAAAAATCCAGTCAGGGTCCTGAGTGAATGTAACGATGCAAAGGATCAGCTGGATCCATTATCGAGAATCAACTATACTAAGGTCTACGTGGTTGGAAAAGACGTCCGGGTCGCCAACATTGGAATTGTCCATGAGATGTCCATGGCAAGCCTCATCGTTGGTTCCCCCTTTGAAGTAGTCTCAGCGAAAGTTCACAAAATCTGTCCCTCCAACCTCGCCGAGAGAGAAAGGGCAAGGACAAGAGCGTCCAGTAAGCGCATATACTGTAAGTACGCAGACCTGAGCAAGGCACGTCAAATTCAGCTAACACCCCCATTTCTTAGGACTAAGCTGTGATAAAATAGTGAGGTACAATTGAGACAAATGAAGTATTAAGCCCTGGTCCTCACATGGGATTTGGGAATCCGATATTTGACGAAAGACTATTCAGCACAGCAGAACAGTTCTCCTCCCACTTCCTACCCTTCGAGTACCTGTAGCACTGGCTGGTCTTCGCCTCGATGTCTCCCCTTATGACTTCGCCTATCTCTCTCAAGACCCGATTGCCCCTTCCCTCCCTTTCTCAAAAATCTATATCAACGAATGCATCTCGCATGTTTAAGACATAGCTCGTAGAACAAGACACCAAATAAACAAAGGAATGCCATTTAATATTACCAAATAACTACCCTATTTATCTCCCTCCCACCTAAATAACATCCTCCACCGCAATCCCCGCAAAGTTCGTGCCATCATACGTCTCCACCTTATCAACCCCCGCCCGAAAGCTCTCCGGCGGGCCCAGGTAACTATGCCTCAACCCCCCCAAATCAACAATAATCTTCTGGATCACCACGCCCGGCTCCACCGCCCAAACCTTCAGCGTATGCTTCCCCGTCTTACTCAAGTTATGCATGGTCGTCGTCGTATTCCCGCTCGAACTCAGACCCCAAATCGCATCTGCGACTGCTCCAAGCCAGCCGGGAGGGTATCCGCCGCCGGTGTAGTTGCCTACAAACTGGATTGTTTGCGGGATGTCGGCATCGAAGGCGACGCCATACTTGAGAGGTCGTAAAGCACCGTTTTGGTTCTGCGAGGGAGAGATGAGGAGGGTTACATTAGCTTTTGAGACATTGGTGAATGTGTAGATATCGTATTCGAGTACTGGTCCCGTGCCAGCTGGCTGCGAAGGCGCGAGCACAGGCATCAGCGTCACGCCGGACAGGGTGCGGCCGTGGGAAGGCAGTGTAGAGTACGAGATGTTATTGATGGAAGTGTTGCGCGTGGTGTGCTCGGCTTCGATGGATATGTGCTTGTCGCTCTCGACGAAGCCGACAAAATCGGAAGGGATGGCGACGTTTTGCACGGGCACTTGCACCATGGGGGCGTTGTAGCTGCCCCATTTCTTGCCGCAGGAAGAGGAGATGTTCATGTTTATGGTGGTGGTGTTGAGGGCTGCGGGGGCTTTGGCCCAGTCGATTGAGACGAAAACGCGGGTGTCTGTGCCGTTGTCGCCTCCTGTGAAGCCACTTACGGGTGAGACTCTTACGTAGTCTGTCCAGGGCGTGACGTTCCATTGACAGCCATCCATACCGCGAGAGAAGATGTCGATCCAACGAGTTTTGGGTCCATATGGATCCATGGGCGGAAGAACGAGAGTGTTTTTTGAGTTGTCATGGTAGACATCGTCGCCAGAGACCGTGGAATTGTTTCCTTCGACTCCAACACCAAGGTTTCCTCCAATGGATGTTTCAAGCTTCTGGACGAAGGCTAGAGGAGGAGCCGTGTTGCGCATTGGCTGTTGCCAGTATCCCCGATATCCCAGATGGGTTTCTGCTCTGGTCAGTACAATTTCGGCAAAGTGAAAAGCGATACTCACGATCAAGTATATGATTCCACTTCCCATCCAACAATTCATGATATCTCTGCGTCAATTCTGCATCCTGTTTAAAGTAATCCAAAACATCCATCGCCTTGTCATTAGCCGAACTTCTCTTCTGCGCCACATATTGCTCATTCTTCGCCGCATTGATGTAGATTTGATACACGACTTGACCACCAAGGACTGGCTGTAGAATCATCTCATAGAAAGCAGCTTGGTACTCCTCGTCCAGATCATCATATATCCCCTGCGCATCATTGGCCAGCTTTTGCCACTGAGCTAGGACAGCATCGGCTTCATTGTAGTTGATGACACTGTAGAAGCTGGGATCCATGAGCTCATATTTGCGTCGTGCAGCGTACATGCCGTATCGTTCGAGGACCGAGACGATGCCGTCGGCGTGTTCTGCGTCAAAGGAGAGGGTTGCCCATTGGCTGAGCCAATCCGGAACACTATCATAGCTCCACTTCGGAGTGTCGTAGGCCAGATCCAAAAAGTGGCTGATGGGGATTTCCAGAGGCTTGATGTCCCCAACGTTGAGAACCCATATACGGTCTGCTGATCTTGCGTATGCAAGTTGCATCTACTACCGATCAGCCCTGATGTTACTGAAGTGGTCAAGCGAATTTACCTGTTCCACGGTTTTCTCAAGCTGTATGGTATTGATCCACTTGTAATCCCTTGGATCTCCCACATAATCGATATGATAGTAGACACCAGCCCCACCCGACCTCCCCGTCTCATTAGCAAGCGGCAGCCTCCTGATATTCCCCCAATTATCATCTGCCCACAAAAGTGTAACGTGATCGGGAATTGTCAACCCCTGCTGCTCGTAATACCCTTGCACTTCCTTGTACAAACACCACATCTGGGGTATCTCCGTTACATTTGTTCCACTGAAGACTTCAGTCAAGATCTTAATCTGCGCCTTGACGACGTTTTCCACCACAACGATCGCTTGCTCATCAGTCAGGCCAATTGCGGTGTCGCCGCTCCCGCGCATCGCCATGGTGAACAGACTGCTTGCTGCGTATGGTTTGGCCCGCTGAGCGCCGTAGCGGAAGAATTTCTCAATGGATACGTTGTTGGAGTTGTATGCCCATTGGCCGTTGCCTCCGTACTGTGTGCCGAATGTTGGCCACTCATTGGATGCCCGCATCATGGGTTCTGAAGATTTTGTCAGTCTGGGCTTCATCGAACAGGAGAAAGAATTACCCACCAGTATGACTTGATCCCATCACAATTCCATACGCATCAGCCAGCGGCTGGTTGGCAGTATCGTCCACATTAAACATACTGGACCACTCGGCCGGCCAGAAGTAATTAGCCTTGAGTCTGAGCAATAGCTCGAAAACTCGTGCATGGAAGTAGTGATTAAATCCGGCGCCGTAAGGACCGGGAGCATAATTATCGCTGTCAGACCGTTAGCAATCCATTATCACAGCACTTGAAGGGAACAGACTTGATCCAATTAGTCAAAGCAGGCTGCTCATCATTAATGAAGAATCCCCTGTACTTGACGCTCGGCGAGCGCTGCGTCTTCCTCCCCTCGAGCGCCCAAACGCCTGCCAACTTCTTGATCGGAACATCTGCAAAATCCCACCAGGGAGAGACTCCAATTTGCTCGCTCACGTCATAGAGACCATAGATCGTGCCTCTCATGTCGCTTCCTGCGATGACGAGCGCTCTGTCAATGCCCGGGAAAGGATTGTCGACGACATGAGTGATGTATGACTCCCATTTCCCGCGAATTTGCAGCTCGCTGAACTTCTGGGCAACAAGTAGAGCGTTGATCACGTCCGACTTGCCGATTGTACCCGCGATAATTACTGTTTTGAGCGTGGAATTGTTAATGAGAGTTGGTCCTGTGAAATTTTCGGCTGGTCCCACAGTGTACTTTTGAGCTTGTTAGCAACGTTGGAAAGGTCTCAAATTTTCTCGCGAGGCAAAACTCACATTGACGAAGTTCGTCGTTGGTTGGTACATATAATACACGGTCGTCTTGCTCGATGTAGGTGAGCCAGCTGTAGTATTATGCGGGGCACTCGGCGGTGGCGCCTGTCGGGGACTCCATGAACCTCCATTTGGTCCACCATCTCCTCTGTGTGGGGGATGAGGAGGTCCATTCCACCAATCCCATTGAGGATCTGGATCCCTGCGAACATTCTCCGTGCGTTTTGAATAATTCCCAATTCCAGGTATAACACTCCCCTGCCAATTGCCCAACGTCAGGTTCTTGCCCGTAACCTTCCCAAAATCTATGGCCAGATCTTGAGCTGCTCGAATCACTCCCCACCAGTCATTGGCGCTGACCAGTATTTGCCCATCGATTCCAGATCCAGCTAATTGCAGCAAGCCCGGCGACGGCTTCGTCGTGACTGTCGCATTTTGACCGAATGCTGTGACCGAGGAGCAGAAGGCAGAGAGTGTCAGGAGAAACGACTTCGTCCTCATCTTGACCGACTCCTGGCGCGCGACAATTGGCGCTGAGGGAAGTGGGAAGGAAACGGAGCAACAATTGAGGGAGAATCGCCACTTAAGAGTACTTTAACTCAACCGCAGTAACGCGTACGCGCCAGAAAGGATAAACTGATAGAACGAAAACATCATTGCGAGGGTCACGACAGTTGGCTCCAGGGGACCGGCGGTCCAGGTTCCGCATCGAGTAGAAAATTCGGATGGACGGATGAATATCGCGAAGATATGGGGCTTGGCAATAGAAGCAAGCATATAATGATTATAAGCGGTACCTTACATGCAGTGCGAACAGCGCCGCAAATTGAAAGCTGGCAATTCATGAAGGAATTCAAACGAGCTTTGCGGAGACCGGGGGATAGATTTTGCGGGGTAGAATTGCGCTGATCCTTTAGGCTGAACAACTAGCTCGAATCTATGTGGCGGCTGTATAGCAAGGTTTGATGCTATTCCAGGTGCCAAGCGATTGGCCACCGATAAATTTGATTCAAAATGCACCAACTGACACTGTCAGCTTCGAAGCCTAAAGAGAAGTACACATTATCTCCCGTAACGTTATTTCCACTAACTTTGGGGATAAAATTGTGATATTGACCACGTGTTGCATTCAAAGGTACCAAATTGGCCCCCAGTCAAAAGGCAACACAGTTTTGCCTTGCAGAGGACGCATCCGAGGAGTCGGAAACGAATCAAATATTGGCACGACACAAGCATATGATATTGTGATTGTGGGGAACGCATAGTGGAGAGATTGCCAACCTTCATGAAGTACTTCCAAAGGGCTGTACTAACTCGACACCCTCCATCACTCGCCTGCAGCAGTATTCTCTCTCGATCTCAAATGCCGTGTGAATCCATCCACCACTTCCCGGCTCACCTCAACACTTACCGATCGCGGGAACGCAGAATAATCATCAAATAAAGAAACGCTAAAGTCAAAGAACACCTGGAATCTAGGTAACACAGAGTCGAAGTAGAGCCAAATGACTTAGCTGCGCTCTCAGCTTTCATGCCTCCATCCCAATCCTGTCTTCTTGTGTGGCGAGATTATCGAAATGGTGCGAGACAAGTCAGAAGATGATGTACGTGCGGGTGATCGAAGCGGGTGCAAGAAAGAATTAAAGGGAAGAAGACCTGCCACAAGTCCAACATCCCATCCCCTTGCCGAAAGTTCTGCTTCACAGTCCCACACACATGTTATACCTATGCATCAACCGTACCGGCAACACCAGGCAGTGTAGCCGCATCGACAAGGGTGGTTTCAGTCTTGCCTTCTGGGACGAATGCGTACCTTGGCATCATGGCCATTTTCTCCTCCGGGCTCAAGTCGTTGTCTGAGTATACCATCTTGATTGGCTTTTCCTTTTTTGCTTTCTTTTCTCCTTGATCTGTTTTCTCGGTCATTTCGGACTTCTCGAAGCCTTCGGGGGCGGGGGTAGGAGTCGCCGTGGCGGTTGGCGCAGTAGAAGTAACAGTCGATTCGGGAGCCGTAGCTGGTGCTTGTGCCGCCTCTCCCTTCTTCGGAGGCTTGATACCTGCCTCAGCCATCCTGATAATCTCGTCAATGTCATCAGCTTCTCGAGCGGCGCCTGAAACCAGGTCGTCCACCGAAGAAGCGTTAGTCGCATAGTCCCCATTGTAGCCTTGAGAGTGAGGAGGATAAGCTGATGACATAGCTGAATTATGATCTTGACCTTTCCATCCATTGCCTCCCCATCCACCTTGCTGATGAGGAGGAGGGCCTTGGTGCAACTGCTGCATTTGATATGGCGGCACTGCAGGAGCGCCAAATGATGGTCGTTGAGGAAGGCCAGGTGCTGGGGGAAGACTCGGTGGTCGATTTGGGAGGCCGCCGTGTGTTGGTGGGGTGTGTGATGGCGGGCCTTGATAGCTGTTGAAGGAACCCGGGGCCGATCCTGCTCCAAATTGTTGACTAGGGAAATTTTGGTTTGGCTGGTATCCGGGAGGAGGGAAGGATTGGGAGGTTGGATGCTGCGGAGGAGGAGAATATTGGGGCTGGTATTGAGCACCGGGTGGTCCAGAGAACGAAGGTTGTTGGGTGTAAGACTGTTGGTAAGCTACCGCAGGTTGTGTGTACGGCTCTTGAGAGAATGACCCATATCCCGCACCTTGTGTTCCGCCAAAAGTGGCTTGTGGAGGAGGGAAAGGCGATGCATTCTGCAGATAAGGGTCTTAGCATGGTGCGAGATCATAGAAATTTGAGATAACCTTACAAATGCGCCAGGACTTTGTCCCATAGGACTGTTGGCCATTGGTGTATTGCCACCGCTACTACTGCCAGCTGCTTGTTCGGCTTTCCGAGCTTTGTGTTCTGCCAATCTCTTTTTCAGATCCGCAGGCGATTCAAATTTTGGCTTCTTGGGTTGGCCACCCGCTGGATTTGCGCCACCACCTGGAGTAGGATTTCCTGTGGCTGCTCGACGCTCGGCTTCCGCTTGGTAGAATCCTGCGATGATGCGCTGATTATGTGCTTGAGCAACCTCTGCCGGAATGCCTTCCATGCCAAATATTTCGACTTCGAGTCCTTGTCGGTTGGGCAATGAGTTGTCAACGCTGGACAGAGTCTCTTTATGGACCTGATTCATGTGAACGGACAAGCCTGTGCTGTCAGCAGAGATATCAAAGGGGGAGAGTCTTCACGGCTTACCTCCTGCTGTGTTCAGTCTTCGGCCACATCTTTCGCATTTGAAGTGTTTAGCCTTTTGATGGGAGATGAGAATTTTTAGGTCATCGAAATCACGCTCACCTGCGACAATTGTTAGCAATTGACAGCGTGGCAAGGGCAATGGTACGTACAGTAATAGCACCACGGCCGAGCGAGCAGCTCCTCGACATCGGGGTGACCGCGCTTCTTCTTGCCCATGGTGATCTCGACTGGCGATGAATCGAGATGTCGAGGGTTGTTGTATTGATGGGGTACTGTTGAGTCTCGAGGAAGGAAGAAATTGCGGAAGGCTGGAGTTCTAGCCGACGCGCTAATCGAATAGGGTTAGTGCTCCCGGAGTTCATTTCGTAATAGCGAAAGATCTTTGTCCCTTCTTTTTCTTCCTCAACAACCAAATTATGTTAATGCGCTCGACACGATCTGATATTGAAATGATTGACATCCTTCGGGTTTGTTCTGTTGGTTAATTTTGTATCCATCCGCCTTTCCTCTGAGGCGTTCTTTTTTTGACAAAAGCAACACCTTGATCAATCACTCCGCCTACATGGCACCGAAGCTGAGCCCTTCCTCGGAAGGCCTTTCAGCTTTCTCACGTCTTGTGGGGAAGTTGAATGGAGATTGAGAAGAAATCACGTCCTTGGGGCTTGATTTCCACAGAGGGCTGCTGCAATACCGATCCTGGACCATCATAGTCCACACTCCTCCTCTTCACGAGTCTCCCACAGGAGTGTGGCTCCTTGCGTACCAACATTCGAGCACTGCGAGATGGGAATAGAAAAGTAGGGAATGCATCACAGCTTATTTCATCGTCAACTGTGTTTACAAACACCGCTCTTGATTGATGGTCATGTGACTCTTGAGCCCATTGCAATAACAAAGTTCAGCTTCCCAAGGTTCTCTGATCTTCGATGTGGACTAGTTTTAGATTATGCAGCTCTGCAAGCTTGCTTCTTCTCTAACCTTGAGCATCAATGCCAGCAAATCCCGACCTCGATCGAAAACCACGTTTTCAAAGGGTGCGTCAAATCAGAGTTTGGGCCGTGAATGGGCCGAAGAAACAACGTCATACAGCAGCTATCTCCATTGGAACGGCGAGGACGGATAAGGCTCAACGTCAGCTCACTTGTTCTCCCTTCGGCACACGGATTACAAAACGATCATACACGCCACGCCTGCGTTCCTTCAACATATCTCGTCGTTGCCTTGTCTCGCTGAACATCTTTTCGACGGCAATTGACCCCAAAATCTACTCCACAATCTGCCTTGCATCGATCCCAAGATGCCAACTAATCACCCCACCATGGCCCATTTTACACGACGGATGTCTTCCATCCACAAGGAGACCAAACCTCACGAAAAGCATCCCAGGTTTGGGAACCTCCCACTCAGCACGAGCGGACCTCAAGATTGTGCGTTGACTGGCGCTGCGCTCCTCAACACACCATACCTCAACAAAGGGGCTGGGTTTCCTCCGGAAGAGCGGGAGGCGTTCAAATTGACTGGATTGCTTCCCCAGAATGTCCAAACTTTGGATCAGCAAGTGAAAAGAGCTTATCAGCAGTATTCGACTCGAGTTGATGATTTGGCGAAGAATACATTCATGACCAGTCTGGGAGAGCAGAATGAAGTGCTGTATTTCAGAGTGAGTTTTATGACTCCAGAATACTTCTATAAATCTCTTTCCTTTCCTTCCGAACTTCATGCTCCCTATCACCTTCCTCTTCTTCAATTCTTCCAAGGTTGAAGAGCGTACCTACGTGATGAGGATGGGCACGTGTGTCCATTTCTAGATAATCTTCGTGGCTGCTGGAATCAATATCCAATGAAGGCCAAGACATTGAGTTGGGAGTTCTGAATATTTTAAGGGTGATCTGAGAGATTTGCGTTGTCATATTCTTCAATGCCGCGCTGCATTCAACACTGACACCGATCAGTTGATTCAAGACCATCTCAAAGAGATGTTCTCCGTCATCTACACTCCAACAGAAGGAGACGCCATCCAAAACTACTCTCGACTATTTCGAAAACCGGAGGGCTGCTTCCTGAACATCAACGACGTTGGTCGAGTGCATGATGACCTGGCACAATGGGGCTCTCCCGACGACATTGACTACATCGTCGTGACAGGTAGCCGCACAAACCTCTTTTCAAGTCACCAGAGACTGACACCACATAGATGGAGAAGAGATTCTCGGTATTGGAGACCAGGGCGTGGGTGGAATTCTCATCTCCGTCGCTAAGTTGGTTTTGACAACTCTCTGCGCCGGCATCCACCCAAACAGAACTCTCCCCGTCGTTCTAGATTGCGGAACTGACAGTAAAGAACTGCTCAACGATGATCTATACCTTGGACTGAAGAAACCGCGTGTGAGGGGTAAAGAATACGATGATTTCGTTGACGTCTTCGTCCAATCAGCACGAAAGCTGTACCCTAACGCCTACATCCACTTTGAAGATTTCGGCTTGCCAAATGGTATATTTCCCTTCCAATCTACTCCTCTTATTTAGATACTTTCATGACCTCAACTGACTTTTCCAGCCCGTCGCATTCTCGACCGTTATCGCCCCGAGATCCCCTGCTTCAACGACGATGTCCAAGGGACCGGCTGCGTCACACTGGCCGCGATCATGGCTGGTCTCCATGTCAGCAAGTTAAAGCTCGAAGATATGCGTATGGTAATCTTCGGTGCCGGAACAGCAGGAACGGGAATTGCTGATCAAGTGCGGGATGCTATCGCCGCTGATAGCGGAAAGTCAAAGGACGAGGCTGCAAAGCAGATCTGGTATTCCTGCTCTCCTCCTCGCCGATCCCACTTTTATCCACCCTCTTCTGACGAAACCAGGTGCGTCGACAAACCCGGCCTCCTCCTAAAATCCCACGACGACAAACTCACGCATGCACAAATCGATTACGCACGTGACGACTCAGAATGGGAAGGCAAAGAAGGCCATGACCTCCTCGCGGTCATCAAAGGCGTCAAGCCGCACGTCCTCATCGGGACCTCCACCCGTACGCCCACCTCCAATCCCCTTCCCCCACAACCAAACTAACACCCCCACTCCAGGCCCAAAATCCTTCACCAAAGAAATCGTCCAGGAGATGGCCTCCCACGTCGAACGCCCCATAATCTTTCCCCTCTCCAACCCGACACGGCTGCACGAAGCCTCTCCTTCCGATCTCAACGAATGGACAAAAGGAAAAGCGCTCATCGCGACCGGCTCTCCGTTCCCACCGGTCAAGTACGAAGGGAAAGAGTACGAAATAGCAGAGTGCAACAACTCGACCTGTTTCCCGGGTATCGGCCTCGGCTGCGTGCTTTCGCGCTCCAAACTCCTATCCGACAAAATGCTCGTCGCAGCCGTGAAATCGCTCGCTGCACAATCGCCCGCGCTGAAGGATCCGGATAAGGGGTTGTTGCCAGATGTGATAAATGTGAGAGAGATCAGCGTGCATATTGCGAAGGCGGTTATTCAGCAGGCTGTGGAGGAGGGCCTTGCTACGCAGGAGGGGATCCCGGAGGGGGGGGAGGATTTAGAGGAGTGGGTCAGGGAGCAGATGTGGGATGCTGCGTATAGACCGTTGAGGTTTGTGGAGAAGAATAGTGCGGGGAGGCATGCGAGGGGGGAGATGGGTGTTGCGGGGGCCGCGGCACAGGTTTGATTTAAGATCTGAAGATCTGGGGTATGCCGAGGGTTGTGGTATATTCAATTGATTGGAAATCTGTGAATGCGAGACGTGGAGCAAGATAATTAAGATCTTGTCCATATTTCTTTCTGTCTTTGAATGTCTAGCAATTTATACATGCAAGCCCCCTGGCGCCTGCAGGTCCTCGCGAGCTCTTGGACATTCGGGTTGCATACCACCCCCACCCCCAGTGGCGGAAATTCGGAATAAATTTTGTAATGAACTTCGTACTGTTTTGGACATTTTGCAGGTTGATCAACGCTCATCATTTACAATCGCCGCTTTGGATGGATTGTGTTCGTTGACGTTCAACTTGTTGAGTTTCTTTGATGCTGAAATCTGGAAGCAGTCGACTCTCGCAATATTTTTGGCATTGGCTTGCTGGTAATCTTACTCTTCTGTCTTCTCTCACTGCCTCTAACACCGTTCAGGTTATTAACACTTACCCCTTTCCTTCTGCCCGGAACTTTGACTGTAGCTGCCGGTACAGCCACGATCACAAAAGCTCTGCCAATGCCCGCAGTTGAACGAGGACACGGATGCATGACCCAGCACGGTAATTCCTAATACTTCCTTGCCATCCGCCCTCTGCAATGGTGTCCAATCTCGTCACGCAAAGGCGCAGAACAGATTCAAGTTCTCCAATTCAGTCCCCAGCGCCCGTCATCCACCATGGAGGTCCGAAAGCCGTATCTACAACGTGCTGAACCAAACTCAACACAAAGTCCGATCTTCAACTACTACCAAAGGTCATTGGTTACAAACAACGGAATACCCATTGCAATGGTCACAGAAAAGACCTCGCCTCGTACATTGGAATTATTCCAAACCACGCCAAGACTTCATGCAACCAATGCGGCGGATGCTCAAGGCGTGCCTGGACCTCCTGATGTTCATGGCGTCGTCACGTCAGCCTTTGATCCCCTCCTTGGAGAAGGGATGATAACTCTGAAACCTGTGAGTGGAGATATGATCGAGCTTCTCCATACTCAAGAAGTTGATCTCACTGCGAACTTTAGTAGAAACATAGGATACACGCCTTCTTTCTGTCAACCCATGGCTTCAAATTCTACACAGCCAGGAGATGCCCCGGAATGTCAGATGTTTCCGTTCTAGCTCTGGGCCGTGACATCGAATAAAAATTTCATCTTTACGCTTGGAAACGGGACACGGACGGCAAATTTCGACTTTGCTGACGGCGTGAAAACCATTTCAAATGGCGAGCTCAGAAACTTCGACCCCGTCTTCGCGCCTCGAAAGTTCAAGCTCTCTAGGAAAACGAAGATAGTATGACCATTTTGACATACGTATATTATTAATCCTACTCATACATGGCCGTCTACCTCTCATTGCAGACCATGCTGAGCGGCAACATCACAACGTGGATCCCATGGACATCTACCAAAGCCCCTTTTTTCACAGACCAGAGGTTCGCCCTTCGCACTGGTTTACATGCCTGCGAGACAATCAAAAACAACTGGACTCAGATTTACGCCAGCACACTCTTTGAAAAGCCATGTTAGATGTGTCGGACAGTCGAAATCGTTCCCTCGCGAGAGCGATCGAAGACCTTGCCACGAATGCAACACTCAGCATGATAACTTTCGCGGACCTGACGTGGGTTTCTCGTCTCCAAATCGTTATTCTTGCTGATACGTTCTTCACAGTTCTCCCAATGCAACGACAGCACAAGTAGTATTTGCATCCACACACAACGTCCCCGTCTACAAGCCGCTCTTGCTTCTCTTGCCCTACGATATCGCGCACCTGCTCACCATCCCGAGCGTCCGTCTCGGACTTTATACATTCCACACCAACGGCTTGGCGCAGAGCACTTACTTCTCTGCGATCATTGCCACGACTAGGAAGCCAGGACTTGACGTCCTGTCAGACTGAGGGAACACTTTCTCTCTTGACAGTGAAACTTCAAAACTTGGATTGAGATTTGGTGAGGTTGTCATTGGAATGAAGGGTGAAAGGGCAACGCTTGGAATGGCGGATGAGTTGACCCAGTTGAAGAAAGGGAAAATTTACAGGTAGCCATATATTTCAAATCATTAAACAGAAAATTGAGTCCGGTTGAATAAGACCCACAAGCTGAACCCGAACACCGCGATCAAGAATGAATATCTCACCCACGGTCCCGTCAGTGCTCGGGCACAGCACTTGCTCAAAACGGAAGCAGTGTTCATCTGCCTCGAATCACTTGATTCGGGCACCTCTCTGTTGGCGTTCTCGACATCGGAGAGTCGAGACCATTCTATTGACCGGGATCGCCACCAACTGGAAGCCTTGACGTGATGACTCCCTTGTCGCTATTGTTGTGAAGCATCTGGGCAGAAGAACCGTGGTTGGAAATCTTCCGGGCCGACATCGCAATCGTCATAAATCTGGAAGGCTTGAAGAGAACGTCATCACCAGCCTGTCCAATCCCATCCAAGCAGGCCGCAGCCCTCGCGGATTGGAAGCTTGAGAGAAGGTGTCGGCGGCGCTGGCGTCGAAGTTTATTTTGAGTTTGAGCTAGCGGGGTCTCCCGCCCCTTTTTTCCGTAGTGCGCAAGGCTAGAACTGTCAGAACAGAACCAACATTTGACTCTAGATGCTTCTTGCTAGAGTAAGGTTGGCATTAAGATGGGCTCCAGAAATGATGACCGCGGCTTCTTCTTTGGCTCGTTTTAACTTGGTCTTCCGAAGCTGCTGCTCCGTTCAGCTGCTTTCCACCCCCTTTAACGTAGTTCCGTGGAGTAGAGACAGCTCTGGAAAGTCTATTCAATCCATCAACGGCAAATAGAGAAGGATATAACTTCATCCACGAGAATATTCAAGCTTGGAAGGTATTTGTGCTTCTGGAGATTGGCAAAAATTGTAATACCGATAGCTTCCTATGCCTCTCGTGGCATCATGGAAGCTTTGAGCTCTCATCCTGATGCATCGGTGTGATCGCATTCGTCCACACAGGCATGAGGCCTGGGCTCTGAATCTTCTCCCAAGATCAACAACTTTCGGTCGAGGAAGGGGTGCAGCGAGATCTTTCGCATCAGGTGGCCTTGACCCCTCCAATTCTGCCAAATGTCTGGTCCAGAAGAACACCTGTGAAGACCGTCAAACTTTTATTGAGCCTCTAAAAATAAGTCGCAGTTGCTCCCATTCCTCAACAGGGCAGCCGTTACCCCGCAAAATCGTAAAACTAAGCCTTCCCTTCTGTCCCAACGTATTTTGGTATCTCCCAAATTCTTTCCCCTCATGGGCCACCAAAATAGCTTCCGAAATTCTGCTCAACAGTACCCAAGCTTCACGATTGCGTGATTCCTTCCCTAGCGCTCTCTACTGAGTATAAGAACCCATCGACATCGAATTTCCTTTCCTTCCTCCTCACCGCATCTTCATATAACAGCTTCGCACTCACGCTCAAGCTTCAATCACCAAGATTCAGTCCCGCAACCTCAATAGTAGGCTCTCCTTCCTCGTAGACTCCTAGACTCGCAGCTGCAACACACTACATCCTGCCGCCACTGTAATTTGTCGTGCTGTTGGGTGCTTCGACCTCACGGTCGCACCGCTCCTCGAGGAATTTTTGCCGACTTTCGCACACTTCAGCAATCAACGGCACCACGCACCAGCTTCCCTCACGCGTAACTAGTTGTAAGTAATTCCTTCTTTATTTCTTTACATTACAGCGCATTTGTCGTCATTGCACCTCGAAGTCGCTCCTTCCCGCTGTCGCAAATGTAGCAAGAGCACCTGCTGATTTTTTTCCAGGCGATCGAATACCAACAACCTGAGCGCCGCCCACACAACTCAACACAATCATAGCCAACTTGTAAGTAATTTCTCTTCTCGCAATCTCGTCGTAAGCTCTTGGGTTCTAAGCATTCTCGTACATCCCCTTCTTTTGCACTGCATTTCGATTTCCGCGTTGTGTTTTGTCTCGATTTGCGAATCTTTCCTTGCGTAGCCGCGGTCGTAAATGTCTTCAACTCAACTGGGAAGGGACATCCGGCTCTCTTGTGAAGCGAGCGCAAGCTCCTGCCCGTGAAACTGCCACGAAAAATGTGACTTTCCCTGAGAATTTCTCGACTCAGCTCCCAAGGCAGGAGCGACTCTGCACCACCCGAATTTCGAATTTCGAATTTTCTGACTTTGGCTGCGATTGCACGTGCATCGAGAAAATTTGTCCTGTGCCCTTGAGCCCTGGGTGATCTGTGTGCTCGAATTTCAAAAATCTGGGTGTGAGATATAAAATCCCCATGGTTTCGCTTAACGAAAAGGGGCAACTGTCACGTGACATACAAATTCGTCGGGTTCGAGTTCATTCATAACGTGTGATGGTTCGAAGCTCTCTGAAATTCGGTTGCATATCGCTCTTCTTGGGCAATTCCCTTTGGCTTCTGGTGATTTTGAGATAAGGTGGCAACTGGTCATTTCGGCTTCATGCTGCATTGCGAGCGCGGGCCGAGTTGACTCCAGAAGTTTTGAGGATGTCGTCGCCGTTTGACCTCGCCGCCGCTACCTTGCTGTCGTATAAATATTTGTGACTGTATTATCGTAGTGTCTGGTTCCTCTTCATCGTCTAGAACCTTCCAGTGTTCGAGATGGTGTTCGGACATCCAAATTTTCGAAAACGTTGTCTTCCACCAACCTAAGTTTCAATGCTGACTGTATTCGGTTACAGCATTACTATTCGACAATCCGATTCAACCAACAAGATGTCGAATTACCAAGTCTCACGAAGCTATTCGCCGCCTAAGGAGCGGAAAATTCCCGAATGGCGAGTACGGGCAACAAGCGAGCCCAGATCCATGACGAACGACAACAGTGGGGCCTCTCCATCATCCCCTACCCGGGTCCGCAAACGCTACAAACCAACCGGCAAAAACTACAAGCCAGTCCCCGGGCAAGCACCCATCATTGTCCCGGCCGGCAAGCGGGACATCAGCAAGAATTGGAGACGCATCGAGAACCCATTCGACAATAAATCCGATGTTCTTGCCACGGAGGAACATCAGAGCGCCATGGTTCCAGTCATCGAAAGACATCAAATAAACAACAAAGCCCCTGACAACAACTCTGATGTCCCTGTTACCGAGGAACAACAAGCCTCCATTGCCCGAACTAGTGAGAGACATCAAACACTTGACGAATCTTGCACCAGAATCTCCAATGTTCAAGTTAAGGTAGAACAATCCAGTTCCTTGGCTTCCAAATATTCCATCTCCCATATCGAAACTGACAGCTTTCAGCAATGTTCCACAGACTCTTCGTACAATGTGAGCCAACCATCCACACCAACAAAACAAAGAGGCCGCCGTCGCAGAGGCCGACGAAACCGAGTCAAAAATGCCAGCAAGGCAACCATCGAAGAGCCCTTCTCGAAGCGGAACAACCTCAACGAAGGCAGCAAGAAATTCCTCTCCAAAGCAGATCACAACAAGCCGGCATACGCAGGTCCGAGTTGGGGGCTTGGACCGGATCCTAGTACATTGCCACTTCCGAAATTCTACACACCACATACACCAGAGGCAATCCTCAAGGTCAGCAAGTACATGAACAAATCCCGCAACCCCATCCCCCCAAATCAGCCCGAATGTCACGGTTCGGGTCTTGTTCTACCTCATGCAAGTACTTTGGAAATTCCCTCTTGCGTCACACCAATACCAGCCTCCAAGGTCAGCAGCTCCAGCAACACAACTGGAGAATCTACCACCTCCATTTCGCACAATGGGGACAAATATGCGGCCGACGTTTCGGACAATAGCAGCTCTGTCACCAACCTATATGAGGACAATCAGAGCAACTCAAGCTTTGTCACCAGCACTTTCGCGAACAATGGATCCAACGCATCCTTAGTTGCCAACCCTTCCGATGACTGCGACGCCACTTCTACAATCTCGGTCTCAGACAATGAAAGAGAGCCAAATTTCGTCCCCAATTCTTTCGAATGCGACCTCTGCCAGGTCCCTGGCTGTACCATCCAAACCCAGGAGGAGATCCACGCCATCCTGGACGATACCTATATTGTTCGCCACAGAATCCAGGAAGAGATCGAAGCCCACAGAGACGAGTGGAACCAATTGATCTACCAGGAAATTCTACTCATCCCCGACGACCATCAATTGTCTTCTATGGAAGTGAAACACTTTTTCGAGATGGTTCTCGAGAATATTGTGTGGACCAAGCGTTGGTACAGAAATTGCAGCTTGTCTCAACAAACGCTTCCCACGATGTACCAAGAATATGAGGACAAATACAATATCCTATCGTGGATCGACGATGTTGAGGCGGCTTAACCGCCCTCGACAACATTATCGATGCAACCAGAAGTCGTACGCTGGCCATGGGACGGGCATGCTTGAGACTCTGAGAGCAACCTGTCCCGGGGACCCTAACACGAAGGCTTCTGGCCGAGCTTCACCACTCACAATCACGGAAATCGGATCGACACGACAGACCACGAACAAGTTATCACGCAACAAATAACAATATGACAGAGAAACGTTTCAGAATGTGATGGCAGCATGATAGAAAGAGAAATGATCGAAAGACGGAACGATGAAAGATGAAATAAATGTTGGAAGGCTTTTAGGCTTTTAGGTTTGGAGGACCAAGAGGATTCACTTGTATTATCCTCTATCATTATCAGTCAGAATGTCAAGTCAGGACAAGCGGAGGGCATACCTTTCCCACTGGGTTTTAATGGTGCCTCTCGGGATTTGGTTTCTTTGTTGTTTTGGGTTTGGATTTGAGTTTGGATTTGGATTGGGTTTGGGTTCGGGTCTGGATTTCGATTTGGATTGGGGAGTCAAATTGATTAACTTCTTGAAATCATAAAACCCTGGCTTCTTACATGACATGAATGTGAATTCGATGCTATCGTGGCTCCTGCTGTAAAGTCTCCCCGAGTCTGTCTTAGTCCGGTTGGAAACTGGTCAAGCTGTGCCTGGCAAATAATGAACGGAGCCATCGCGCCTCAATGAAATAATGCTCTTCGTGATCTTGATGACGTCTCAAATTATCCCATGGGATGAAGCAGATGGTAATTGTCGTCTGGCGGGCAGCTAACCACTAAAACTAGTCTCTAAAAAAAATAAAAATTTGAAAGCCAATAAAATGAGGAAAGCCCAGAACGTTTTGGTTGTAGATGATGGCGTGGGTAGGGACTGATCCGAGGTTCAAAGGTATTCCAGAAGAAAAAAAATCTTCTCTGGTTGATACCGGGGGCGAGGATGATGAAGAGAAGGACGACTCGTCAGAAGAAAGTGAAGAGGATGACGATGATTGGTTTCATGCTGGTTCATTGTCACGTCCCTGGTTTATTAACTGCTCCGTTTTATATGCCTTACATAGGCTTTCATGATCCCCCTTTGCACGTTTCAGTGCCTTCACACTCCTTATATAAAAGCTCTTTTCGTGTGATTAGCAGATCAATCAACTTGACATTTTATTCCCATTATTTCTTTGTCAGTGGGATCTGATCAATTGGAGAGCTAGTAACGAATCAATACTGGACCTAAACGGTAAGCCAGAAAACTATACGAAACCGGGAAGTGAAGCCTACCAAGAGTCAAGGAGTGGCACTATGGGGAGAAGCGGCGGGGAAGCGTATTATGGGACATTTGCACAAACCGGCTCCCTCATTACCAAATAAAATGCTCGTGAGCTGTTAAGAAAATTGATTTTTTTACACTGAAAAGGGAGATATAATTATTCCTTTCGTGCGAAACCCCCCTCTCTACTGAGGCCCACAGCTAGCTAGCGGACAAATCCGAGAAGCGAAAAGTGATTTTCTGATT